GTAGCATCAGTGTCCACAACAGCTAAATTGTGGAAAGAGCCCAGATGTCCGTTAACAGATGAATAGATAAAAAAGGTGTGATATATGTAGACAACAGAATGTTATGCAGCCATCAAAAAAGAGAAATCTTACCATCTACAATGACGTGGATGGAACTAGAAGGTATTATGCTAAGTGAAATAAGTCAATCAGAGAGAGACAATTATCATACAATTTTACTCATATGTGGAATTTAAGAAACAAAACAGAAGATCATAGGAGAAGGGAGGGAAAAATAAAAATAAGACAAAAATCAGAAGGAAGACAAACCAAAAGACACTATTTTTAAAAAATCAGCATATAATATATTATTGGTTTCAGGGGTACAGGTCTTTGAATCATCAGGCTTACACATTTCACAGCACTCACCATAGCACATACCCTCCCCAGATCCATAACCCAACCACCCTCTCCCTAAGCCCCCTCCCCCCCTCAGTTTGTTTTGTGAGATTAAGAGTCTCATGGTTTGTCTCCCTCCTCGGTCATATCTTCTTTCATTTTTCCCCTCCCTACCCTCCACGACCCCCTGCCCTGCCTCTCAAATTCTTCATATCAGAGAGATTATACGATAATTGTCTTTCTCTGATTGACTTATTTCACTTAGCATAAGGCCCTCTAGTTCCATCCATGTCATTGCAAATGGCAAGATTTTTTTTTTTTGGTGGCTGAGTAATATTCCATTGTATATATACACCACATCTTCTTTATCCATTCATTAGTTAATGGACATCTGGGCTCTTTCCATAGTTTCGCTCTTGTGGACATTGCTGTGAAAAACAGTGGGGTCAAGAAGCCACTTCAAATTACTACATTTTATCTTTGGTGTAAATACCCAGTAGTGCAGTTGCTGGGTCATAGGGTAACTCTATTTTCAACCTTTTGAGGAATCTCCATACTGTTTTCCAGAGTGACTGTACCAGCTTGCGTTCCCACCACCAGTGTAGGAGGGTTCCCCTTTCTCCGCATCCTCGCCAACATCTATTGTTTCCGGAGACTCTTAATCATAGGAAACAAACTGAGGATTGCTGGAGGGGAAGTGGGTGGGGGGATGGGGTAAGTGGGTGATGGGCATTAAGGAGGGCATGTGATGTAATGAGTACTGGGTGTTACATGCAACTGATGAATCATAAACTCTACATCTGAAACTAATACTATATGTTAATTAATTGAATTTAAATAAACATTTTTTAGAAGTTGATCATATTTAACAAATATTTAGGGGTGCCTGGTTAGCTCAGTTGGTTAAGTGTCTGACTCTTGATTTCGGCTCAGGTCTTAATCTCAGGATCATGAGTTCAAGCCCTGTGTTGGGCTCCATGCTGGGTGTGGAGCCTGCTTAAAAAAAACAAAACAAAACAAAACAAAACATGGGGCACCTGGGTGGCTCGGTCAATTAAGCATCTGACTCTTGATTTTGACTCAGGACATAATCTCAGAGTTGTGAGACTGAGCCCCAGAGTTGTGAGACTGAGAGGTTCTGCACTCAGTGGGGAGTCTGCTTTGGGATTCTCTCTCTCCCTCTCCCTCTGCTGCCCCCCACCCACCACACACACTCTCTCTCTCTCGAAGATAAAATAAATCTTAAACAAAACCCCTCAAATATTTAAAAATTTTAAAAGTTTGTCATAATTATCAAGGTGAAAGTGATTGTTTTTTGGGGGAAATCTTTATAAAATTACATAATATTTAGACGACAATCAAATAAAAACTTTCTAAATTACTTGAGAGCCTCCTTCATGACTCCTAGAAGCATGCAGAGGACCTTGTTGGTAGTAAATAAAGATTGCTTTAATAACACATTCTATATTCACACAATAAATCATCATCTCAAACGTATTGGGATTATGGTGGGATGGGAGAACAATCCAGAAAGGCCTGTAATTCTGAGGTAGTTACTAGAAGAAAAAGCTTATTTCTTACTTGGTGCTCAACTTTCCAGAGGGTCGGGTTGAACTAGAAGGAAGTCTTAGGGTCTAAAGTTTTAGGGCCTACACTACAAATATCTATAGCAAAAATTAGCAAAGGGGAAGATCACCTTGTGATGCCAGCACTCTAACACATTAATTGCTTTCAGTTTCTCTGTTCACTTTTAGTCCTTGATTTTATGCCTTCATTCCATGTAACTATAAGTATAGCATAGATACAATGGTACCTTCTTTTTTTCACTCAACATTATAATGTGAACACTTTTGTCTTAGTGCTATTTTGGTTGCAAGGAACACTCAGTTAAGTTAAATTACCTCAAAAAAAAAAAAAAAGGAAGGCGTGTGTGTGTGTGTGTGTGTGTGTGTGTGTGTGTGTGTGTGTGGCTAACCTTGCACAAATTCTAGGATGGGAAACTAAGACAGTTAAGCTCCATGAGAATTGGAGCCAGGACACAGTAAGCCATCAGCTAGGGAGCTGCTTTGTTTGGGTGGGGTCTCTGCTCATCTCTTTCTTGGGTAGGGTCTCAGTTCATCCCCGCATTTCCGTTCCTCGTAAACTTCAGTTGTGCAACACCAACAACGTGACCTCATGGTTCTAGAGTTTTCAATCATCCTCTCTCCAGATCTCTTAAAGCCAAATCCTGATGTGATGGACCTCATTTATCTTTTCCGTCCAGTTAGGCCACAAGACTCAGAGGTTTCTCCTCAGCCTGTGGCCTGGCCATCACTAGCCCAGGCAGATACATCTCGGTTCCAGACACCAGCTCTGCAGGGAGCAAGGCCACGTGCAGGGACGCCGACCCCCACCCCAAGCACTGCGTGTTAGGGCAGGCCCCAGCTCTCTGGTGGCTGCCTTGTCTTCATAACTAGGAACTTTCATGAATGCATGTGAAGTCAGGGTCTACCATTTACGATCCCATCCCGCTGCTGGTAGGGTTAGCTTCTGTTTAGCTCCTTTTGGTTTGGGGGCTGCTACCACTAAAACCGATGGACATTTTTGTGCATCCTTCTTCCTTTTCATCTGGATTATATAATCTTCCAATCCCATTGAAATGGCATTCTCTGAGTACCCTCAGGATATAAGACATAACCTTATATTTTTTTGTTTAAAAAGTACCTATATTTGCTAGAGATTTGTACATTGGCAGTTATAGGCCAAAATAAGAGGATGTGATATTTGGGATTTGCTTCAAATCCTCTAGGAAAAATATTGAGGGTCCTGGGGAGGTAGCCGAAACCAGACTGGTGAGATGTTGATGACTGTTAGAGCCCATCATAGTTCGTGGGGACTTATTCTCTACTACTGTCTCTATTTTGCTCTTTTCCCCACTTCCCTTCTTTTCCTCTTCCTTCTGGATTTTTCTATTCTTTTCCCCATGTATCCTTTTGCTACTTGATGGCCATATGCCTCCCTCTGGATTTCCCGAGAAAGTTTTTCTGTGGCTTTGTCACAGATATCACACCCTGATATCTGCTTCACAGGTCCCTTTTCCTTTACTAGGAAACTGCAGTCCCAGTCCATCCATCTACACACGCAGCCAGTAACTCGTTCCCAACGCACTTTGAGGTTCTGTATCGGGCCAGACACTGTAAAAGATACTAACTTTAGTCAGCTTCATGGTCTTTGATGTTGCCAAATAGGTGTAAAGAGGAATGCAGTCACACCTTAGCTTGTGCCGTGAGTTAATAGGTCGGTAACACTCTCAGGGATAATAGTATTTGAGAAGAGGAGCCAAGAGCTCTCTGGTCGGCAGGATAAAGCACAGGGCACAATGGCAGGCAGAGTTGGGGAGAGGGTCTTCTCCTTCAGTACCTACCTCCCCCTTACCACCTTCTTGCCTGGTAGTTTTCAGACCTTAGGAATGTCAAACTGGAACCTGCAATCTGAGGTCCTATTTATTTAGAAAGAGAAAAAATTGTACCTTTAAGATGCTTGGGATTCTTGTGACATTTAATAGAAAGCATTAAGGGCGCCTGGGTGGCTCAGTGGGTTAAAGCCTCTGCCTTCGGCTCAGGTCATGATCCCAGAGTCCTGGGATCGAGCCCCGCATCGGGCTCTCTGCTCAGCAGGGAGCCTGCTTCCCTTCCTCTCTCTCTGCCTGCCTGTCTGCCTACTTGTGACCTCTGTCAAATAAATAAATAAAATCTTTAAAAAAAGAAATAGAAAGCATTAAGAGTTTCCAGTGCTCAAGGCAATTCGTACCTTATGTTCATGCTGAAAAAGCAAAACTCTCATCAGATGGCTTAATTTTGTCTTCATTTCCCAAAGCATTAGTAGATTACAAATGCTATGTGAACTAAGTGAAATTGCAGGGGGAGAATTCTGAGACCTTTCTGATTTTAAAGTCATGATGTAAAAACAAACAAAGAAACAAAAACCCAAAAAACAAAACCTCAAGGTGGTTTCCAATTCTCTGAAGTTGGGACACCCAGAGCTGTGACTGTGAGACCCCATGGGTGCCTATGTCTTGCAGGGACTGAGACTCTCCCGGAGCTCCCCACGGTTCCCTCCATGTGCTGCTACCTTTGCACACCCCAGCTTGGACTATACATGCATCTATACTTGTCAGTCTCCCTCGCTAGTTTGGGAGTTTCTGTGGGATGACAAGGGTTCAATGCCTGGAATACAGTTGGGCCTCAATAAATATCAGTTGAATGAAAGACACCCAAAAAGTATTTTCTTAAAAAAAAAAAAATCCCCATAGTCTTCTCCCTTATTGATTCTCCCCTGCATGGACTCCAAGATGGCCCCTTGATTTAGCCTGACTCTGAGGACCTCCTGATGAGAAAATAAATACTTCAAAGAGACTGCCTGTCAGAGACTCAAAAAACAGAAGTGATTCCCCCCTAAGGGAGTGCCCACTGCAAGATGGGGACACCTGGATTCAGGCCACCCACCACCGGCCTTTGCCATCAGCTGTCCCCTTCCAGAAAGAGGATTGTTACCTTTAAACTGTGCACTGCTTCATTTCTTTCAGCAGAACTGTTCAGGGATCTCCAAACATAAGCTTATAATGAAAACCCCACAATAACCAATTCAGAATCTACTGTGAGCACAGCAGGTCAGCAACAAGTTTATTATTAGACTGGCAAGGTCACAGACTGGTGGATGGCTAAGTGTTTGGGCCAACTCTCCTTGACTTTCTCTGCATGGGTTTCTGCTGTCAAATTTCCCTTCTGGTGTTTGCAATGGTTTGCGGTGGTGGGTTTGTCTTTATGGGGGTGGGGAGCAAAGCAAAAGAAGTAACAGAGAAGTAATGCAGGTTCCCTCTAGAGCCTCTCACAGTGACTCGGGGCAATTCACCTGATCTGTGATAGTCATTTTCTCAATGTCAATGTCATTAGAGGTCAGGATATCTTTTAGATAGGTCACGGTTTCTGGAGGGAGATAAGGGTTTCTTCCCAAGATCCAAACATGATCCATGTGAAAAAGCCAGACGATTGTGGTGCAGGAGTACACGAGGGCGTAGTTCTCGTAGTCCGTGGCCAGAACCCAGTATGGAGCTGACGGCATCACTGAGAACCAGAGGAGGGCAGTGTTAAGAGGGAATAGGGCAAGAGGAACCTTCATCTCCAGGACCCAGGAAGCCAGGGTCCTAGTTCTTCTACATGAGTGTTTCTTAACTCTGAATTCATGTGGGAATCTTATGGGAGCTTTAAAAAATCCTAGGCCACCACCCTCCAGGCCTGCCCAGATCCTGATGTGGAGGTGACTGGAACTCCTGAAGTTTCCCCCAGTGATTCCAGTCTGCAGCCCGAGCTCAGAGCCATCATTCTGGATCCTCCCTCCCTGGCAGTAGATTGGTCTGCAGAAGGTGACGGTTAACAGGGAATTTTGTTGGACCCCCTAGACTAATAGGCTGCACTTAGCACTAGTACAAATGGAGGCACCACTTAGATAAGTGGAGTCAAGAATGTGAAGTCGGGACGCCCAGGTGGCTCAGTTCACGATTTCAGGGTCCTGGGATCGAGTCCTACATCAGGCTCCCTGCTCAGCGGGGAGTCTGCTTATCCCTCTGCAGCTCCCTCTGCTTATGCGCGCTCTCTCCCCCACCCCCTCTCTCTGACAAATAAATTTTAAAAATCTTTAGAAGAAAAGAGAATGTGAGGTCAGGGGCCCCAGGCTTTCCAGGTCTGTACTTCCCTGCTTCCTTTAGAAACTGCCTGGGGAAGGAATTAAGGACTAATGTTGATTTGTTTGTTTTTCTTTTTGTGTGATCTTCAAAAGTTCCTCTGTTCTTAAGAATATGGTAAATCAGGGGCGCCTGGTTTAAGTGGGTTAAGTGGGTTTTCAGTGGGTTAAGCCTCTGCCTTCAGCTCAGGTCATGATCTCAGGATCCTGGGATCAAGCCCCGCATCGGGCTCTCTGCTCAGCAGAGAGCCTGTTTCCCCCTGCCTCTCTGCCTACTTGTGATCTCTCTCTCTCTGTGTCAAATAAATAAATAAATAAATAAATAAATACAAACCAAAAAAACACTTTCCAATGATTCAAAAAAAAAAAGAAGAATATGGTAAATCAGGGGCGCCTGGGTGGCTCAGTGGGTTGAGCCTCTGCCTTTGGCTCAGATCATGATCTCAGGGTCCTGGGATCGAGCCCCACATTGGGCTCTCTGCTCCGCTGGGAGCCTGCTTCCCCCTCTCCCTTTGCCTGCCTCTCTGCCTACTTGTGATCGCTCTCTCTCTCTGTGTCAAATAAATAAATAAACAAAATCTTAAAAAAAAAAAAGAATATGGTAAATCAGGTGGTAACAGGTTAAAAACTCTCCCTCACAAAGGGCCTATAAAGATTCATTGAATGACATCTGCCTAGTATCAAAATTTCAGCATTAAAGGGTCCTTATGGAAAAAGAGGGAAGATTTACCTTCTCCATCTGAATCCAGAAACTTCTTCTATTAAGCTACCTCCACACCACAGTCCAAGGCAAGGAAAAGTCATAGCCTACCTTGTTAAAGTTAAGCGGAACATGAACCCAAATGGCAGAAAGCTGTGAGCTGACCCCATAAGAACAAAAGATTTTGACACATATCCCGTCATGGGTGGTTTGCTTTCCTGGGTTTCAAGCATCCCACCTCCTCCACTCCAAAATAATCCCTGTTTGCCAAGCCAAACCATATCTCAACACTTGTGAATGACCATGAGAAGCTGGACAAAGGAGGCAGTGTGTGAGAGGTTAGAGCTCGGCTGGGCATCAAAGACCCAGCTGGTCATCAGTATAATACAAGAGGGCCAGTCCATATGACAACCCAACCAGGTCCCTCCTCTCTCTGACTTTCTACCTGTTTATAAATATGAAAAAGGAAGGACACTTGGAGGATGCCTGATGGACAGAAGCCTGTACAAGGCTACGGGGCCCACACTGAGTGCTGTTTCTGACTTACCTTTCTAGCCCTGTTGGTGCCTGCCTGCTGGGCTCACCATGAGAGCTCGTATTCATCATATATCTGCTATCTGTGACTTTCCACTGCTTTGTGTGTTCCCAGCTGGACCGAGAACTCTGCAGCCCTGAGTTGTCTGGAGGAAATATTCTTCCAACCTCTTTTGGTGATGGCCTCATGCCCCACCTGCACATAGCCAGGAGTTCACATGCTGTCTTCCTCCCACAGGGTCTAGATCTCAAGACCCATTTACCCAGATGTTTCTTCTCAGCAAAGAAAATTTCCATATTTCTGTATTAGAAAACTCTAACAGCCTCCTACTGCTTCTGGGAGGCACTTCAACACAGGAACATGGCTTTTGAGGCTCTACCCAGTTGTCTTGTGCTCCACATACCTGCCCATCCTCTGGGCTTCTCTCTGCAGGCCTTTCCTCTTGCCATTCTTGCACTTGGGACAGCCTTTCCCATAATCCCCCCCACACCCTGGAAGACCCAGTGCAAACGTCTGATCCTCCACCAGAATAAATCTCCTTCTCCTCTGCTTGCCCTGCCAGGAGATCCTGCCTCTTCCAGCTCCTGTTCCAGGCTTCTTTTGGAAGGTCGCGCCCATAATATTTGGCCTTGCCTCCTATCCCCACCCCTCAGCTGAGAGTTTGGGGTCCTATGTTTTGGTCCCAAGTGGGCCTCTAATTAGTCCAGTGACCTTGCCTCCGTCATCTAGCTTTTCTGCACTTGGACTTTCTTATTTGTGATATAAACAAGAGAAACTGACATGTACAAAGCCCCTTCCAGTTTACGGAGCATGTGCCATCTCATTTATCTTTATGACACTGGGCGCAGAGGTGAAGATATTTGCCCATGGTCACATGTGCAGGAAGAACTGTTTTCATCTCCCAGCATTCCTATCTTGGTGTATGAAATAAGAGTGTCCTCTCTGCCCCCCTTTAGGGGCTTGATGGGCAGTGGGAGGTAGTGATTTCTCTTGCAGCTGTGACTTCAGTATCCACCACTTGGGTGGGGAGAGGGACCCTCGAGCACACTGGGAATTAAGAAATCTCACATTTCTGACTTGCCTTCTCCCGTGTGTCTCTATCAACAGTAAAACTAATATTTGGTGTTTTCTCTGTTGCCCGTGTCCATTCCTCCATGAGCCCAGAGCTCAGAGGGCACATGCCCATGATCAAATATCCTTCAGAGAAACCCACAGTGTGGCGAGAAAGTGGCAGACAGAGCTGGGGCTCAGATTTACCTTCACTCGTTATCTCTTGCTGTCAAGCTTCTGTGCATATCAATTGTTCTGCTAAGAACACCACTATTAACTATTACTAACCGCTAATGTTTCCAGCCTCCGTTTCCTGGGGGGTGGGAAAGGCGGGATTGGTTATCCTACTGCTCAGGCCCTGTGTGCTGCTATCTGTGCTTCCTCTATGGAAACGTGGTAGTTTTTAATAGTAAATCGCCTATGTACTTGTCAGTATCCACACTGGGGTTTAAGTCCCTCGGGGACAAACCCAGCTCTGCCTGGCTCATCATTGTATCTTTGGTGCCTAGCCCTGAGCTGCATGTAGCCGGTGCTCAACAAATAATTATGTATTAAGTCACGACAGGTGACACCCAGATGTGACAGGAGTGTTCCCACCCAGGGCTCTGACTTCTCATTTGAGGTAGAAAAGGCTCTAGCTTTCAGTTTGTGTATCTCTTATCCCTGAAACCTCCCAAGGGAAGTGAGTACTTACACCAGAAAAACTTAACTCCCAGCTTGGCAGGCTCTGTAAGGTTGCCCTGGGTGGCTTCGCCTTCGATTTGATTCACAGTTCCATCAGATCTGCAATGAGTTAAAACAAAAAAACAAAAACAAAAACAAAAAACAACGAAAAACCTTAATTCATGGGAGGCCAAAAATCAGTGAAAGGCAAGATGTGTGACACTAAGGACCAGGGAAGCAAGAATGCGATTGCTCGTTAGGAAGGCTCTGTCTCCTCTCCTTTGTCACTGTCTCACACCAGGTGGAAGCAAATGGCCTTGGAGTAATAAGAAGCAAGAACTGAAATGCTCCAGGACCGGATAACATGTTAGGCCTTTGCCCTTTAGGGCTATTTTTTGGGTCCTGCAAGGCCATTTCCCATTCTCAGGCTCCAGAAGGAGGGAGTAAAAGAGAAGGGAAAAACAAACAAATGAAACAACCCAATACACTAAGAAGATTGGCTTCTTTAAAAACAATAAAGAGCCAAAGGAAAAAACAAACAAACAAACAAACAAAAAAAACGAGGACTGCTGGAAGTCTGGAGATCTGCAAGCTTTCCCTGCTCTTGGGGTCTCAGTGACATCTGTCCCATAAAGGCATTCATTCGCCTGAGCTCCAGGACCCCTATCCAGCCCAGCAGGCTTCTGACTGAGTGTGGGAGATTTTGACCCTGGCCAGGTACAGCAGGCAAAGAGAAAACATTTGTGATTCTCAGAGATGTTGAATGAGAAGAAATGCCCATCTCACAACGAGTGCCACCTTCCACTTAAAATTGGCGGTGTCATTTCTTTCTTAGTGGTTTATAAAATGGTGGTGTGTCTGAAGTGATGGTCTCAGATTGGATGAAGTACTTTCACTCTTTTTAAGGGAGCTGACTCCTTTTCTGGGTAACTGGCCATGACCTCGGGGACCTGGGGGAGCGGGAAAAGGCCTGGGGATAGACTGAAGGAAGGTGCTCACATATCACAGGGCTCTTCGAGGACACTGAAGGATGAGCAGCCCATTTGTCACTCCTCAAGGGGCAAACAAACTAGAGGAGTAGCGTGTGTTAGAAAGTCAGTAGGAGAGGCGCCCGGGTGGCTCAGTGGTTTAAGTCTCTGCCTTCGGCTCAGGTCATGATCTCAGGGTCCTGGGATCGAGCCCTGCATCGGTCTCTCTGCTCAGCAGGGAGCCTGCCTTACCCCCCTCCCCCGCCCTCTCTCTGTGTGCTGTTCTGCCTACTTGTGATCTCTCTCACTCTCTGTCAAATAAAGAAAGAAAGTCAGTAGGCTATGTTTAGTGTTAATGTCCAGAAACCAGACAAGAAACAGGTAAGGAAGGATGGCAGAGGTACTCTGATGCTGTTGGATATGCTGCTGGATGTCTGTCTGTCCTCTAGTAGGGCTGGAGACCAGACCCTGAGCTGTCACCTGGAACTCCACTGGGAAGACAAGAAGAAGGTCCATTTCCATCTGCATACGGTTGCTTAGCAACAAACCAGCCTCTTCTCAACAGACTCCTCCCCTTTCCTTCATCATTAATGCTTTGTCCAGAACAGTTTCCAAAAAACAGTCTCTGATCATAAGCTCACAGTTTGTTCGTGGGAAAAACACATGTATTTTTCAAGGGAGGCAGCAGTATTTATTAAATGATTAGACCACACCAAACACTGTTCTACGTGATTTGCACATTTTATCTCACCCAAAGCTCACAAAGCCCTATGGAGGGAGGTTCTATGATTATCGCCATTTTACAGAGAGGAAACGGAGGCTTAGAGAATGAGCATACATCACTGAAGATCCCATTGTCAGTATCTGGCAGAACCAGGATTTGAAACTGGGCAGCCTAACTTCCCAGCCTGAACCCTTCAGCTCCCAGCCCTGTGCCAGCTGCTCTGGCCCTCAGATTCTCCGACCCTGGCTAAGAATACTTTGCTCAGACTCCATGCTGTGCCTCTCTGCCCATTCAACAGTACTCCTGAGAGGAAAACCGTTCCCCTCTCCTAAACTAACAAACCCTTCTCCGTGTGCCTTTTAATCTTAAACAGACGTGACCCTGCAGGCTGAGCAACCTAATACTCAGGATACGGTTCCAGACGACTCCCCGCCAGCTCCAACGGAGAGGTGAAAGAGGTTTGGGATCTGTGTCATTGCCTGACTCTTGGTCACAGAATGGGACAAAATATTTGAAATGAAATCACTGCAACTTTAGATGGCTGCCCGCCTCCCAATTCCTGGAGCCTTTCCTGGGCTCTGAAATAAGCTGGTTTTCTCTTTTAGGCCCTTAAGAGTAAGACTCTCACTCTTGTATGTACGCAGGGCCAAGAGTCACCCCCCGGTATCTTGGCTCACAGGAAGCTTAGTGGAGAGTAGGATGGCCACACGAAGCCCTAGTAACTTCCAGGCTGGGTTGTGGTTGTTTTTTGGGAGTTGACACTGTTCTCAGATCTTGTAGGGAACAGGAAGTTCAACCCTTCATCTCCAGCCTTCCTTTCATGTGTCTTCTGTCCTCTTCCTCATTTCACTTATTAAATTTCCGTGTTGTTACTCCAAGCTGTGTGGCCCTTGGGAAATTACTTGACCTCTCTGTACCTCAGTTTTCTCTTTTAGAAAAATGAGGTTAATAACAGCACCTACCTCAGGGTCGCTATGGGGATGAAATGAATATGCACACTCATTTACATATACACACATATAGGTCCACATGTGTATAGGTGTGTACAAAATAGTGCCTTGAACAGAGGAAGTGCTTAATATCTGTCACTATTGTTTATTGTTGCTCTTACTTTTGTTGTGGAAGGTAGGTAGGAACTTTTTCTGGGGCTCTTTTAAAGTTTACATTTGCTTTCTAAAGTATGAATTTTTGTATCAAATAGAAATCCGTTAGAAGCTCCCAGTAATAAAAAAAAGTATACTTTTCTAAGCTTTCCTGTCACATAACCCAGAGGGCGACTATGTCTGTATCTAATAGTCAAAGTTGTCTGGAGATGGAATAAACTTCATGGAAGGCAATGAGCTACCCATTCCTGGAAGGATTCAAGCAGAGCTGAATGTCCTCTGTCAGTAGATAACGTACAAGGGCTTCTCCCTTGGTTTGGGAGATCAGATGAGAAAGTTCCTCCCCTTGTCCTCTGCTACCTGAGTATCTATCTCACAATAAAAGTGGGAACCCTACAGTTTGGGTTACTGTTGAGTCCCGAGTGCCTTTCCCGGGAAGTACATATACAACAGGTACATAATACAGGGAGTACACAATAGAGTTAAGTACACAATACAGTAAGATGCTAGGCCAGTGGTCTTACAAATAAATGAGTAGTTCCTCACCCCCCACCACCACGCCCCACCATTCCGCTTGCCAAGAGTCGTCATCTCAGGACCTACTGTGAACAGGCAGTGGATACCCAGCCGCATTGGCATCCCCCTTGAACTAGACTTCAAGGACACCCAGTCACCCCAGGACAGCTCTCTTGTGGCTGGCTCCAGGACTGTGCTGCTTTTGAAACCACAGCCACTCACCTCAACTCCTGGTTTATCACTTTGATGTTTCCGTTTTCCATTAACGAATAGTTGGCCTGGATGCAACTTCCCTTCTCAAAGCTCACCGGGATCTTCTCAATTTCATACCATCGTCCAAGATACTGCAGAGATAACAACAAACAGAGAAAACTCTGCGGTTCTCTGGGGACCTGCAAACTCTTCCCTATTGTTGTCTTTTAGAGAAGAGCCCTTTCCTGGGAAACCAAGCAAAATGGGCTGCATTGTTCCCAACAGCAACTGAGCAAGATACTGATTCAAAGGAGAGTAAGTGAATCAGATGTGCAGGCATTTGTCGAATGCCACATTTTATTCCTCAAGTGCTCTTTATTTAGATATGCTGTCAGTGGCCCCTCCAGCCAAAATCTATGTGAAATTCTAGACTCTGTAAAAGAGAGGAAGCAGTCCAGATGATGTAAGGTGCCATCTCAAATATTTTGTGATTCTACGAGGCATCTCTGAATTGTGTGCAAAGTCAGATATGTTCACTGTGGGGAACTGGGACTCCAGGGTTGGTAGAATTCTCCTCATTTGACCCTGGAGAGGGAACTGGTCACAAAGGCTTTTGGCAGGTGATCAGGATTTAGGAGACTGATACCATTCTTCCCGTGGGGGCTTGTTCTGTTTATAACTTCACGTACAGAGTCAGCATTAAAGGAAGTGTGTGACTGTGGGTGAAGGGAGACAGGTGTTTTCGTGTGTCCATGCACCGTCTTGCATGGAGACTGCTCCAATTTACAACCTTCATGGGGGGCAATGTGGAATTATCTAGCAAAGCTGAAAATACATACAGTGCATATATGAGGTTATTTGCTGCAGTACTGTTTTTAAGAACGAAACACAGGAAACTAGAGTCTAAGTGAGCATTAGTAGGGGATGGGGTCCATAAATGATGGCACATCCATACAATGGAATATTATACTCCTTTTCTTGAAGGAGTCCTATGTAATTACCTCCCAGATACATTCAATGGAAAAAGAGCTGGGTGAAAATAGAGCACATGGAAAAATGGGGGGAAAGGTTATTATATTCATTTTTTAAAAGATTTTGTTTATTTATTTTTAGAGAGATAGAGAGAGCACTAGAGAGAGAGGGAGCGAGAGAGCAAGCATGAATGGGGGGTAGAGGGAGAGGGAGAAGCAGACTCCCTCTGAGCAGGGATCCTGATGTGGGGCTCCATCCCAGGACCCTGGGATCAGGACCTGAGCCGAAGCAGATGCTCAACCAACTGAGCCCCCCAGGTCCCAATTACATTCCTTTTCTGTCCCCGCTATAACAAACAAATTACCACAAGCTCACAACATGAATTTGTGGTCTCACAGTTCTGTACATCACAGTTTTGTACATCAAGTGAGCTTGGTTAATATCAAGGTGCTGGCAAGGCTGTGTTCCTTTCTAGAGGCTCTAGAGAACTGTTGTCTTCTTGCCTTGTCCAAGTTCTAGAGGCCACCCACATTCCTTGGTTGATGAACACCTTCCTCCGTCTTCAGGGCCAGCAAAAGCAGGGGAGATTCTTATCACACTCCATCTTTCTGACCACAGCTGGGGAAGGTTCTCTGCTTTCAGTGATTAGACTGGGCCCACTGGATAATCCAGGCCACTCTTGCCATCTCCAAGTCTAGAACTTTATTTATTTATTTATTTATTTTAAAAAAAGATTTTATTTATTTGAGAGAGAGAGAGAGAGACCATGAGAGGGGAGAGGTCAGAGGGAGAAGCAGACTCCCCGCCAAGCAGGGAGCCGGATGTGGCACTCGATCCTGGGACTCCAGAGTCAGGACCTGAGCTGAAGGCAGTCGCTCAACCAACTGAGCCACCCAAGTGCCCCCAAGTCTAGAACGTTAATCACATCAGCACAATTCCCCTTTCCATGGAAAGTAGCATATCCACAGGTTCCAGGGATCGGGGTGTGGACATTGTTCTGCCTACTGCAGTTATGTATGTATTTGTGGACGTAAACATTATCTCCCAAAAGATACACAGTGAACTGTTTTTACTGGTTGCTACTAGAGAGGGAAACTGAGGTAGGAAGGAAACGGGAAGGAATAAAGCTTTTCATTGAATGTTCTTTGGTACATTTAGAATTTTGAACCATATGAATATATTTACTTAGTCAAAATACTAATTCAAAAGATTTTAGAAATTTATTACCCAACAAGGGAAAAATTGGAGATGCACTCACCTTCAAGAGTCAGGCTTTGAACTGAGAGCGTCCTGCCAATAGGGGGCAGTATTACGCCAGTCACATGGCTCCTTGCTCAAATCTATACTCCTGTTTATGACCTAAATGTTCCACTCATTTATGAAAGCACATCTTTCCATTAAACCACTGAAATCAACATTCACTTAAAGCACCGAAAAATAAGGTGAAAGATCATTTGGTTTCCTCGGCATCCTCAAAAAATGCTCCATTTTATACAGTGCATTTAAAAGAGTTCAATTATTGTTAAGGTGAGTTCAGGGCTCCACAATTAAAACCAACTCGGAGGTTGAAGATTGCTTTTCATGTCATGCTCCTTTATAATTTCATAGTATTTTTGTGAAAGCCGTTTCATGGTTTTGGGTCTGCTTCTCTAACCACATAAGGATAGAGCAATGTTTAAAATGAATCCTGGAGGGGCGCCTGCGAGGCTCAGTCCGTTCGGCTTCCAGCTCTTGATTTTGGCTCAGATCATGATCTTGGGGTTGAGAGATTGAGCCCTGCATTGGGCTCCACACTGATTGGGGAGCCTGCTTGGGATCCTCTCTCTCCCTGTCCCTCTGCCCCTCCCTGCTCCTGCGCAGCCCCACTCCCCCCCCCCCCCCCCCCCCTGCTCTCTCTCTCTCTCTCTCTCACTCTCACTTTAAAAAAAAAAAAAAAAAGGAAAGAAAAGAAAAAAGAATCCTGGAAAAGATAGAAGTAAAACTATCTGTATTTGCAGATAGCATGATTTTGTAATAGAAAATCCCAAGGAATCCACACACACAAGAATATAGGAACTGATAAATGAAATCAGCAAGGTTAAAGGATACAAGATCAATATATGGAAAGCAAATGGGTTTCTACACTTACAATGAACCCTCTGTAAGTTATGAAAATTCCACTTACAATAGTATCAAACAAATAAAATACTTAGGAATAAATTTAACCAAAGAAACGCAAAACTTATACTCTGAAAAATATAAAACGTTGTTGAAAGAAATGAAAGAAGACCTAAGTAAATGGAAAGATAATCTATGTTCAGGGACTGGAAGGCTTAAAATTGTTAAGATGACAATGTTCTCCAGATTGATTTAGATTCAGTGCAGTCTTTATAGAAACAAAACAAGCAGAGAAGCACAGTGGAAACATGTTGGGCCCATAAAAACAAAACAAAACAAAAAACAACAACTCTGCTTTTTTACAGAAATTGACAACCAGATCCTGAAATTCATATGGAAATGCAAAGGACTCAGACTAGCCAGAAGAACAAAGTTGGAGGCCTCATATATTCTAATTTCAAAACTTGCTACAAAGCTATAGTAATCAATACTATATAGCACTAGCATAAGGATGGATATATATAACAATATAATAGAATTGAGAGTCCAAAAAATAAACTCTTACATATATGGCCAATTGATTTTCAACAAGGATGCCAAGATTATTCAATGAAAGAATAGTCTTGTCAACAAAAAGTTCTGTGACAACTGAATATCCAAAATAATAAAGTTGGACTTCTATATCATCCTATATACAAAGTTTAACTTATAAGGGACCGCAAACTTCAATGTAATGATTAAAACTAAAAAAACTCTTTTAAGAAAATATAGAAATTAATTTTCATAACCTTGCATTAGGCAATGAGTTTTTTACCTTGCATTAGGCAATGAGTTTTTTTTTTTTTAAGATTTTATTTATTTGACGGACAAAGATCACAAGTAGGCAGAGAGGCAGGCAGAGAGAGAGAGAGGAGGCAGGCTCCCTGCTGAGCAGAGAGCCCGATGCGGGGCTCGATCCCAGGACCCTGGGATCATGACTTGAGCCGAAGGCAGAGGCTTAACCCACTGAGCCACCCAGGCACCCCAGGCAATGAGTTTTTTAGAGATCAAAAGCACAAGCCACAAAAGAAGAGAATAGATAAATTGGACCTCCTTAATATTAAAATCTTTTGTGCTTCAAAGGACACATTGATAAAGTGAAAAAAGAATCCACAGGATGGGGTAAATATTTGCAAATCCTATATCTGATAAGAGACTTGTATCTAAAACGTATAAAGATTCTCAGAGCTCAATAATTAAAAGATAAATAACCCAAGTAAAAGACGGGCAAAGGACTGAGACATTTCTCCAAAGAAGAAATACAAATGGACAATAAACACATGAAAAGATGCTCGTCATCATTAACCATCAGAGAAATGCAAATCAAAACCGCAGTGAGATACCACTTTGTGCCCTCTAAAATTTTAAGGACTATAATCCAAAAGATGACAACAACAAGTGTGAGCAAAGATACGGAGAAATCGGTGTGAGACACTGCTGGTGGGAATGTAAAATGGTGATGCAGCTCTTTTGGAAAACAGTCTGGCAGTTTCTCAAAAGATTAACGTGGAAGTTACCATATGACCTAGCAATTCTCTTCCCAGCTATACGCCCAGGAGAACTGAAAATGTATGTCCACCAAAAAAACTCCCATAAAGACAAACACACAAAAATCTTACACATGAATGCTTGTAGCAGCATTATTCCTAATAGTTTAAAAGTGTAAACAACCCAAATAATGAACAGGTAAATAACATGTGGTATTATCCATGCAGGAGAATATTATTTGCCAAGGAAAAGGGCTGAAGTTTAGATACATAGTACAATATGGATGAACTTTGAAAATATTATGCTGCGTGAAAGGAATCAGTCTAAAAAAACCACGTACTGTATGATTCTGTCCCTATGAAATGTCCAGAATAGGCAAATTCATAGGGAGAGTTGATTGCCTGGGGCTGGGGGGTGGAAATGGAGAGTGACTATTTGTGGGTAGGAATGATGAAAATATTCTAAAATTGATTGTGGTGATGGTTTCATAACTCTGATTATACAAAAAAATAGAAAGTGAACTTTAAACATGTGATTTATGTGTTATATGAATTATATTTCAGCAAAACTTTCTTAAACATCCTGCTTCACACCCCAAGGGACTTTTGTAAATATGGTTCAATTATAATTTTCAAAGTGTCTTTGGATTTTTACCCCCAAATAGAAATATAATTCAAATTCCCTGGATTTTTTTCTGGAAAGTCTCCCGTAGCTTAGCAGGGTTGCCTGGATAAAGGGACCAGCCTGTAACAGTTACAGAGTGAGCGGTGTAAACTGTACTGTATGTGTCCTTCCTACCTCCCCTGTGTGACTCTGTAGACGGTGCTCCTTCCCCACAGCCTGCAGGCTCTGAGCTCTCATCCCTCACTCCTCTACCTAACCACCCCGAGAGGTCCCAACACTTACTCATACTGAGGAGTGAGTGACTGATAACAATTTTAATATTACCCATCATGAGTACTGTCCCTTAAAAAAGATCCAAACTTTCTGTTAAGGAGAAAATGTCTTAAGAGCAAGATTCTAGGCATGAGTTCATAGCAATGGAAAACTTTCCTGTTTCTACTAGCTGCCTCTTTCTCCTATTCCCTGCGTGTAGATATGCACACATATACACAGGAAGGCTGAGCCTGATCCCAGGAAGAAAAACCACATATGGAGACCCGGTTATATTGGAATCTTTTTAGTGCAGGTAACAAGAAAGCCTCTTGGGGGAGTTCTGTCCTCTTCTAGGCCCTGCAGGAGGAACTCCTGGGTGCCCAGCACTGTGGCGAAGGCTGGTCTTGAATCCCCCTCTGCATGGATTAGCAGGGTGACCTGGGTGGGTGATGAGCTGTCTGACACTGAGCTTCTTCATCCGTAGAATGCGGAGAATAGCCCTGGAGCTGCTGCCTGTCCGTCAACTGCCCCATGTCCTCTCAGCCTAGCTGGGTTCACCTCTGCCACCGTGGACAATTCCCACGCACACGCTGCCAGCTGTCCACCTTGAGCCCACGTCTCCCCCTTGGCCGGAAGGCCTTGCCAGCACCCCGGAGTGCCCACAGCATGGAGGCTCATACCCCTCCATGGGACAATCTGAGGAGCATTCTACACATTTCCTGAGAGAATTCACAGCAGGATGGAACCCTGTTGTTAACAGTGTTACTGTTGAGGAACGCACCCTTAGTTGCTCTTCTGCTTCTCTGTCTGCTTCCCCACAGGCCCACATTGCTTCCTGGGATCATCCTCCCCAAACTCTCTGCTCCCCAGTTCTTGCCTGAGTCTGCTTTTGGGGGATCCCCCAAGAGGATAAGTACCTACACCTCAAGGCTAGCTGTGGGACTCAAAGCAGAATACTAACACTGAAGCCTGGTAGATGTTTATTCAAACGGGAGGCAAAACAGATAGGAGGTTAGCCTTTTACCACACCTTATTCACATCAAAGTTCTCTTGCACTGGAGGAGTCGGGCATTTCCCAAGATGGAAGGCTTGTCCGGATGCCGCACTGAAGAGGCCGGCCAGCATGGAGAGCAGCAGCAGCGCGGTCACCATCTTGGGGCTGTGGAGGGAACCCGGAGTTAGGAGAAACAAAGCTGCTTGAGTCGTTCTGGGCTTCCGAGGACATGCAGTCACACAGGGTGGGGGGGATTTCTGGGGACCTCTCTGGAGACCTCCCTCTGAACCCTTTGGCAATCGCCCTGCAGGCCACCTGGGTCATCATCTTCAATGGCCCTGGGAGGCATTCCACCTCCCGGAGCCTCTCCAGACACTTTGTACCCCCTGGGAGAGCACACTCTGCCTGGTGTTGGAGCTCGTTGGATTTATTTTGCAACTGCTCCCTCCTAATTATGCATTTTTCAAGGACAGGCACCCCCAGGACCCGGCAGTGTCAGGCACAGTCCAGACTTGTTAATGAAGAGAAACGATGTGGGGTGGGGGTAGGAAAAGGTTGAAGTTGTCGAGGGAACCGCGCGAGAGAAAAAAGATGAACATAAACTGAGCACGACATTTGGTGTCTTAGGAGACTCATAAGAGAGATGCCTCCCTGATCCACAGCCCACCTCCCCCCCCCCCCCCCGCCTTGCTGGGCTGTTCACCAACCAGAAGTATGCCTGAGACCTGACAGGCAGCTGCGTATTGGGGACCCCAAGGCACCCCAGCTGGGTTCGAATGCAGGCTTTGCCACATACTAAGTATAACTGTGTCCAGTTCACAATTGAGCTTCCCAGGCTATTACACGGAAATAATAATCATACCAACTCCAGGAAGTTTTGCAAGAATTAAATGAGATGTATAGAGAGAGCATTTCGGGTGGTGTCTGATATAGAGAAAATGCTTCATAAACACTAGTTATTGTTACCATGAAAAGCAAACACAAATAGTTGTTTCCTGAATTTCTCTTTGGACTTCTGTTGGGAATATTTTTCTTTCTTTCTTTCTTTTTTTTTTTTTTTTTTTTTTTAAGATTTTATTTATTCATTCGACAGAGAGAGATCACAAGTAGGCAGAGAGGCAGACAGAGAGAGAGAGAGGAGGAAGCAGGCTCCCCACCAAGGAGAGAGCCCGATGCGGGGCTCGATCCCAGGACCCTGGGATCATGACCTGAGCCGAAGGCAGAGGCTTTAACCCTCTGAGCCACCCAGGCGCCCCTCTTTCTTTCTTTTTTAAAAATTTTATTTATTTGACAGAGAGACAGCGAGAGAGGGAACACAAGCAAAGGGGTGGGAGAGGGAGAAGCAGGCTCCCTGCTGAGCAGGGAGCCCGATGAGGGATTTGATCCCAGGACTCTGGGATCATGACCTGAGCTAAAAGCAGATGCTTAACAACTGAGCCACCCAGATGCCCCGTGGGGATATTTTTCATAGATGTGCATTTATTTTTATTTTTATTTATTCTTTTAGTTGCATAGACAGGGAAACCGATGTGCATTTAACTAGAGGCAGACCAGTAGCTAGCAACAGGCATTTCAGCCCAAGCTCCCTTCCCTGCTTCTTGCCCTGACCTCTTCCATGTGACTCCTTGCCTGTGGCTGCACAAGAGCTATTTCTAGCTCTTTGCCTTTCTCCCTGCAATGAAGAGGACTGAATCCATGCAAGCCAAATGTTCTCAGATCTGAGGATTTAAAAAGATGTGTCATAACAGGAATAATTATAACCACTTTATTATGGTTAAACCTCTAAATAACCTTTAATAATCAATAGCTTTTCTTCTGGAGGTTTCACTGCTCCATTTCCAAAGGAACAGTTACATAATGAGTAAAGCTGCCAGCCAGGGATGGTGGTGGCGGGGTGGTGGCTGAGTCTCCCTTGAGCAAGCCAAGTCTGGGGTAGGACCCCACCTTCTCTGAGAATCCACCTCCCATTGGCTCCTTCCACCATGTAAACAACATCTGTATTTTAACCTTTGGGGAGATGATGGGAATCGCCTGAACTTACAAAAATTTGCATCCATCTCTGAGAATTTCTTAGAACTGTGGAGCTCTACTCTTGGCCCTCAGTAGGCTCCAAGTTCTCCGTGCCTTGGCCAGAAGATCCAAACTCAAAGGCTGGTCACACATTATGCACATTCTACAGGGCCCCCCAAACTGGCGGGACTTGAGAGGTCCTTTACCCATTCCCCAAACCCCTGGGTGTACAGATGGAAGCTGAATGCCAGAAGGGGCAGAGAGCTGGGACTCAGGGGCCATCGCCAGCTGTCCATCCTGCAGCGACCCTCAGACGGGCTTCATTCTTCACGCCAGCTTTGGTTACTTTCAGTAAACACCTACCTCTGTAACCTTGGTGAGCCTCATTTCACCGTGTGACAACTACGCCAAAAGTCAGTTCCCTGTCTTACTCTGGCAAATCTCTTATTACAAAATGTTCTCTTGTGGGCTGAAGCATGTGCTTTAGCTCTGTAGGAGGATTTCAGAGCAAGGCTAATTCTTAGCATTGCTCGCATCTCTTCCAAAGATGCCTCTTCCTTTTTACTCCTCTGGTTAAAACTTTTTGTGAGAGTAAGGGTTGATGGCATCCATAATTTCTTTTCCAGGCCCCTCCCATTCTTACTCACTCCACACTTCTTCAGCACCTTCTGAAGGGGAGGCAGTGGGGAGAGGACTTGGGAGATAAGGTGAACAAAGTGAAGCCATTTTGGTTTTAGGCTAATCCTTAACCAAGAGTCAGCAGGTCATAAAAAGGGTTACAAGATCTGACTCACAGAAGCCGCAAGACCCCATTCCCTCAGGTAATAAAAGCGGTAAAGGTCAGACATTCTTAAAATTGCTCCCTGCAGTTAATTTCACAATCCTAAAACAAAGGAAAAACTCACCACCCAATGTAAATGAAAAACCCAAAGTTAAAGAGTGAGCCCCTCCCTATATGGTTAGTTAATTAAAAAAACTTATAAGACCCTTTATTAGAGGCAAAGGGGTGTCCTTTTTGTCAGCTGGAAGGGGGGACTACTATTTTGTGAGGTAGCTCCTTTCTTCTATACTTAATACATCTTTGTCCCTTTCTCTACACAGCCTGCTCTCAAATTCTTGCCCTTGCAAGGCCAAGAACCCTCTCAGCGATGGGCCTGAGGCCCTCCCTCTGGATCAAAGGTAAATCGCATTATTAACATACACCTGTGAACTTGGGTATGTGTGACCTATATTTTTGCATCATCTTCTAAATACTAATGGGAAGATGTCTTAATGAGGGGAGTTTGCATATTTTAAAAATAAATATAATTTAGGGGCGCCTGGGTGGCTAAGTGGTTTAAGCCTCTGCCTTCGGCTCAGGTCATGGTCTCAGGGTCCTGGGATGGAGCCCTGCATTGGGCTCTCTGTTGAGTAGGGAGCCTGACTCCCCCCACCTCTGCCTGCCTCTCTGCCTACTTGTGATCTCTCTCTCTCTCTCTGTCAAATAAATAAATAAAATATTTAAATAAATAAATAAATAAATAAAATTTAAATGCTCTTTTAACTGAATATTCAATTATTTAGTAAGAATTCTACTAAGGTTATGGTACACCCACCCTGGGCCAGCACTGACTCTGTGAACTGAAACTCACAGTCATTGAACTTCCCCATGGAGAAGCCCGGGCCTCAGTATGTTGAATGGGCCCCACCTCGTATGGCCACAATACCCTACCTGTTAGGGTCCCGCACTGACATTCTCTTTGTACCCAATGGTGTTAATGAGCCCAGGTTTGTTCCTGCTAAGCTCTGAAGCCAGAACTTCCTTAGACCAGGTCTCCTAGGAGCCTGTTTTCTTGATGCCTGCGTATTACGAGGACCTGGTCCCTGATTTTAAAGATCTGCAGATCCAAAGAGGACTGGCTTCTGAGATTTCACGTGATAAAACAAAATACATTTCCGCAAGTCAATGGGTCTAAAAAACCCATTTAGCTGCTGAACCCAACAAGAAACCATGTCTTCTCAGGAAAATAGTTTTGTACCACATTGTTAAATGCATTTTCTATTCACAGGATGAATTCCAGTTCACTTTTCAGTTAATTTTACTGTAGCACACCAGTGGATGACAAGTCCCCGAGAACCCATCCAGGACAGTACTGGTGTAGGGAAAATTTTCCTGTCGTCTATCTACCATAGAAGAGGGTACCCAGTGCAAGCAGAAGACTCAGAGAGGAGTCAACATGGGTTTGGCAGCCCAGTTTGGCATCTGTTGTCAAAGTCTTTTCTTGACTTGTTGTTTGGGGTAGCTGAACCTCCGTTTCATCGTCTGAAAATGGGATAGTTAGTATCTACCTTGGAAGGGAGCTTGAGGAAAAATGAGACCAAATTTGCAAAGCAGCAGGCACAAACCCTCCATCGTGTTAGTTACTATTGTTAGCTGAAAAGGGGCCATAGAAAGCCAAGACTGTCTCTAGGGTAAGCATCATTCATCATAAATGAAAATTAAAACCACAATACATACCTTTTTGGTCAAGATGAAGGCAGTTTCCACATGCAAACTCACCCAGTTTAGGATGCCTTCTCTTGTTGACTGGCTTCTCCCAAGCTGTTTTATAAGCTTCACAGGGTCATTGATGTTTCATTTTAATGCATGCCACACCCCGCCCAGTTCAGGAAGGCTGGCCTAAAAGCTTAGCTCTGTACCAAACACAAAAATGGGATGTTTTGTCCATCTCCCTCCCCCAGTTTCCTTCACAGCTGCTCCCTGCAAAAGAAACAATGAGATACTGTGTGTGTGCATGTATGTGAGAGCGAGGGAAAGACAAAGTGCATTTCATTCAAAACATCTTTTTTGCTGTGTGGATTTTCTAATTTAATTTTCTCAGTCAGAAATGCACTTTTAAGTTCCAGGAAGTTGCAACAGATGAGCATCTGGTATTTATTTTTCATTTTTGTGTAAATGAAAAATCAACAATCTCATTTCCCCACACAGAGCATGAATTCCACCCCATGAGGTCCGCGGTCTGGACTGTGGTTCGGGCAACAGGACGAAGGTTAAGAATTAGAGATGGTTTTTTGTGTGATCCTGGGGAAGCCACCCACTTCTCTGAGTCTGTCTCCCCACTGTGAAGGAGAGACTGTCATTTCTGTGTCTGCCAGAGCTGGGGGTGCAGGGGAGTTCCCAGCTGGGAAAGAGCTGGGGCTGAGAGCTGAGAATGCCAAAGGTTTCTTGCACAGCTGCTCACTCTGGACCAATCCTGCCCCTCCCAGCTGCATATTCTCTGTGGCCTCTTACTGCCTGGGGTGGAAGTGGATTTCAGACGCTCATTGCACAGAGATGGGGCTGAGCCTCCTCTCTCAGTGGAATTAGCAACTTTGAATCTTAGGACTTGGATTCTATGCCTCTGTGATAAGGCAGGAGGTATTTTTAGGGGCACATAGATAACACAATATCTTTGTAGGAGACGTCAATTCCCAGATGAAATGCATTCTCCAATTTCTAAGCAAGAGAGAGAAATGTATAGCACTAGGCCGTATAAACATGAAAATAACACAAGAACAACAAAAGCGAATCCTTGACGTACCAGACCCTGATGGCATGTTCTTCAGGACGTTCTTTACCTTTTCAGGAACAGAAGTGCTGATTTCCATTCACGCTGTCTCTTGCCCTCTCTCTTCCCGTGCCCTTGCTCAAACGTCACTTCCTTTAAAAGGCCTTCCTGACCTTTGAAAAACAGTACTCTTCCCACTACCACTTTGCCTGCTTTATCGTATCCTTGTTAGAGCTTTACCTGAAATTATACCCCTGATTTGATGTATTTTTTGCTTCTTATGTTTCCCCACTCGTATATGAGCAATACAAGTGCAGAGAATTTGTCTCATTGACTCCCTGCCGTAGCCCCCCAGTGCAAGGACCTTGTAAGCCCTCATTAAATAAACTGAACGGAAGGGATCTACCTAGTCAACGAATTTACTGAGGGGCGCCTTGCTGGCTAGGTCGGTAGAGCGTGCAACTCTTTTTTTTTTTTTTTTAAGATTTCATTTATTTTTTTATTTGACAGACAGATCACAAGTAGGCAGAGAGGCAGAGAGAGGGGGAAGCAAGCTTCCTGCCGAGCAGAGAGCCCGATGTGGGGCTCGATCCCATGACCCTGAGATCATGACCCCAGCCAAAGACAGATGCTTAACCCACTGAGCCACCCAGGCGCCTTGAGTGTGCAACTCTTGATCTGGGGGTTGTGAATTCCAGCCCTATGTTGGATGTAGAGATTACTTTAAAAAAATTGGGGCTGGGGTGCGCCTGGCTGCTGGCTGGCTCGGTCTGTAAAGCCTGCGACTCTTAATCTCTGGTTTGTTAGTTTAAGCCCCACTTGGGCAAGGAGCTTACTTAAAAGTAAATAAATAAAAAAGAATTTACTGAGTATTCTAAGGTCTGCAAAAGGAACAGGAGGTAATTATTTAAGAGACTTTTATTTAAATTGTTTTTCTGGGAAACTATTAACCTGTAAATTCCTGTGTCTTCTTTACTTGCATCCCATTTGTTACCAGGAATTGCTTGTCACTGAAGAAATACACAGTTAATCTCTCGTTGACCTCATAAAAAGAACATTTCCTTTACTCTAAATAGCCACACAGTTCTCCACAAAACAATGTTGGTAAAGCTGCCAAATTTGTGAGTTGGAGATTGATGTCTTTTATCTTTCTTTTTTTTTTAAGATTTATTTATGCGGCTCCAGGGCGGCTCATTTGGTTAAGCGTCTGCCTCCCACTCAGGTCATGATCACAGATTCCTGTGGTGAAGCCCCACATGGGCTCCCTGCTCAGCGGGGAGTGTGCTTCTCCCTCTGCTGCTCCCCTTGCTTGTGCTTGAGCTCTCTCTCTCTCTCAAATAAATACAATCTTTTAAAAAAATCAAAGATTTTATTTATTTATTTGAGGGAGAGAGAGTGCAAGGGGGAGGAGTAGAGGGAGCGGGAAATAGAGTCCTAAGCCGACTCTGCATAGAGTGCAGAACCAAGGTGGGGCTCAATCTCACAACCCTGTCATCCGAACTGGAGCCAAAACCAAGAGTTGGTCCTGTAACTGACTGAGCCACCCAGGCACCCCGATATATTTTATCTTTTATTCCTCAGCTTGACTCAGCGGACCACTCTGGTCTAGGGGTCACAGCATGAGAAAAATCACGTTATATTTCTGAACCTCAGTTTATTTTTTCCTATAAATGTTGGCAAATGAGAAAATTTAGGGAAATCCTCTCTTTGCATGTCTCTGGAATGTAGAGCCAAGCACGAGGTTTTATGCTTCATACAACAAATCAGACCTATATTCTAAATAAATATTTATGTTCATTTTTTAATTTTATTTTTAAATTCCAAAATAGTACACATTTATTGTACACAATTAAAATAGTACCAAAATGTAGGACTCAGAAACTCTAAGTGCCTCATCTCACAGATCAGAGATGACCATTGTTATGTTTGCATTTATTCTTCTGGAAATTCTTACACAGATCCTAACACAGTAACAACAGTAGCTACGATATTCAGTGTCCTGAAACTCACTTGTTGTCATGTAATAACGTCTTTCTTTGTCTATCTGTACACATAGATCTCTGTCCTTCTTTCACCTGCTGCCAAACATTGCTTTTACCTAAAGGTGTATTTCTTCAAGGACCCAACCTGTGATTTCACAGGGAAGTAACTTCTTGGGTGGGTGATCTTTCCTCATACAGGGGCCTGCTTCAGGGGTTTCACTCTAAGACCCTCAGGGAAGATGAATTTGTTTAGGTGGACTTTTTGTGCAAGAAATAGAAAACGATTCCTTTTTTTTTTTTTTTAAAGTTTCCCTGGTGAAAATATCTTCATCAATCAGTGGTTCTCTCAAATACCAGAGTCATCCTGCCTGCTGTTCTTTTTTTCTTTTTTTTTTTTAGAAAATTTTTAAGTTTTTTTAAAGATTTTATTTATTTTAAGATTTTATTTATTTATTTGACAGTGAGAGAGGGAACACAAGCAAGGAGAGTAGGAGAGGGAGGAACAGGCTCCCCTCTGAGCAGGGAGCCTGATGTGGGGCTCGATCCCAGGACCCTGTGATCATGACCTGAGCAGAAGGCAGACGCTTGACAACTGAGCCACCCAGGCGCCCCTGCCTGCCCTGCTGAAGTGATTTTTCTTTTGTCTGTTAAAGGGAAACTACAACTGGATTTTTCATATGAAAACCCAGACTAAAGTTTTCCAATAACACATTCTACAAGCTCTGAGACTCAGCTCACGAGTTTCACTCTCAGGGAAAACTTCCTCACTCTTGCCCTCTCTGTTCAGCCATCCTTGCTCTCTGCACACCGTGCTTGTTCTCAGGAGAACCTCAGCGCCGTAGGCGGGCATCGCTGCAGGCCCGTTGGCTCCTTCTGGAGACCATCACGTCCCTCAGAGTAGGGTTGTGTTTCTATTCCTGTCCAGTTGTGTAACACCAGGTACATAATAAATGTTTACTAAATATTATTAGATGGTTGAATGAATACTAGAACGTTCCATCCTCATTATTTGTGGGGATGATTGTGTACTTCATGTTTTATTCAGATGCTCTCTTTCCTCTCCTTCCTGTTCCCTTAGAGCCATTTCCTTTATCACTAGGAGCTGGAACCAGTTGAGAGCTGAATGGTGCCAAGCATCTGGTGAATAGCAAGAAAATAATCAAACTGTTAAAGTGGCAGGGCCCCTGGCTGGCTCAGTCAGGAGAGCATGCAACTCTTGATCTTGGGCTCATGAGTTCAAGCCCCACACTGGGCCTAGAGCTTATTTAAAACAAAACAAAAAACAACTGGTAAAGCTGCAGCTTGCCATGACCCTGGGGAAGAACACTGAACTGGGAGGCAGGAGACCTGGGTTCTCGTCCCACCTCTGGTACTAATTCATTTACCCATTCACTCACTCTTTCAGCAATATATGTCTGGCACTCAGTTCTAAGTCCTGCAGATGTAGTGGTGAAGAAGAAAGACAAGGTCCTAACTCTTGTCTTCCAGAGGAGAGTCCTGAACACAGAGAGTAAAAGGTGATGTGATGGGGAGTGTCTGGTGGCCGCTTCAGTTTTGTGATCAGGAAGGACCTCTCTGAGAATGGACACTTCAGCTGAGATGTGAAGGAGGAAAAGAAGCCAGTCACTCAAGGACCATGGGGGTGAGCATTCCAGGAATGAGAGCCAGTGCAAAGGTCCTAAGGTAGAAACAGACTTTGTGTTGTCAAGGGGCAGAAAGGACAGTGTGGCTGGAGCAGAGAGAGCTAGGAGGAACATGACTGAAAATGAGTTTGAAGAAGTGGGTGGAAGCCATATAATACCCTGCTTTGAGGAATTTGTATTTTATTTCAAATATAATGGGAAGCTAGTGGAGGGTGTGAGAAGATCATTCAGGCTCTCCTTCCAAGAATAGATTACAGGATGGTTACAGAGGGTTCAGCTGGGAGCGTTGCAGTGATTCAGGCGGTGTGGACTTGGGATAAGGCTATTGAAATGAAAATGGAGAGAAGTGGATGAATTTGGATATGCTTTGTAGATAAAGTGGACAAGACTTGCTGACAGATTGAATATGGAAGATGAGGAAAGAGAAGAGTCAAGACGGAATCCTAGATTTATAGGTTGAACAACAGGGTAGATGTTCGTGCTAATGGTTAAAAGTAGGAATACTGAGGGAGGAGCAAGTTGAGTAAGAAAACTCGAGTTCTTCATGGATAAATTATGTCTGAGTTGGATATTAGATGTGT